TATTTTAAGGTAACTGAAATTATAACATTAATATAACATGTTACCTTACTGAGTGGGAAATAATAACTAACATCTAACTTCCAGGTTACTTTTATGCTACATAACATGTTAGTTTCGAGAACGTAACATTTACCCAACAGTTATATAACAGTGTTCACTGGGTAGACGCGACGATACGAAATCTAGACCCGACCTAAGAAAGAAGGAAAACCCTCAGCGATATTACCGGTCACTTCTTCCCCAATGACGACACCCGAAATAAAAGAGCAGTGTTTGACTTCATGGGAACTATCTCGAAAATATTGTTCGGAACTCTCGACGCTAGTGGCGCGACATGCTATGACGAACAGATTGATAGGATTTACGAAGACGATAAACAAGTAGCAACACTGGTCAAAGAACAAACCAACACAATCCAAGGCTTTGTGACCAACCTAAACATCACTACCGACGACATAAATGCGGAGTTCGGAAAAATATAAGGAAAAATAGAAACGATGCAACAATATGTAATGGACCACGTGAGAGGGTTGTACACCGCGAAAATACAAGTAAAAATGTATGCTCACGTTATCGAACTCTCGAGTCTAGTTAATTCGTACGAATCAGAGCTTACGATATTAACTAATGCCATCATGCTCGCATTTAAGGGATTAATTCACCCCAATATCCTCTCACCAACTAACCTTCCTGAAGTTCTTTTGGTTTTTTTTTTGGACCCGGTAAAATAGTAAATCCCCGACCTAGCAGAGGGGCTCATATTTAGCATTTTCACCCAATTCGAATTACAAAATCGATCCCCAGCCTCAAAGTTTTGCCATTGTTCTTCATTACTTTTTCTTTTACTCAAATATTTGTTCACTAGTGATGTATACTTTGACCACTACGAGAACGTAAGGTTACAGTACCGCTATCATTGTCGTGTACTTTATTCGGTATTTTACTTGGATTTTACGTAAAATACTTCCTATACGTATGTGTAATACTTCCTTACGTAAAATAACCTTGAATTCAGCAGCACAACGCTGCCATGGGTTTATTTCATGTCAGTAGAGTTGGGTAATTCCCCATTTTTCGAGGTTTTTAACTTACATCACGTAATCAAAGTAGTTTACCGTAAAAAATCGTAGAAAACCAGTAAATTACATTTCCAATGCCGAGAATGCCGTAGATGGACGATATGCAGCATCGGCTAGGTTATAAACGTCTTTTAGCACATATATAAACACGTAAATATTTTAAGGAACAATGAATTAATTTGGCGCTTGTATGCAAAATTGTTTAGAATTTTACGTTTTCAATATGGCGGATTCCACAGATGCACGATATATGTATTCGCAAGGTTAACGTCAGGATTGGGTAATTTTACGATTTTCGAGGTTTTTGACGTATATTACGTAAATCAAGTAGTTTACCGTAGAAAACGTAGCAAAACCAGGAGAAAACGTATCAAATATGGCGGCCAAGACAGACGTAGGACATGCGGTATCCGCTAGGTTATAAACATCCATCTTGTCCATTTGTTTCATTCCATAATTTACTTTTTGGTCTTCCACCTTTATACATTTTGATACAAATATTGATTACGAATCTTACGACTTCAAGTAGCCGCTATCAGCCGTTATAAACAAACGTCAAGTGCACATATATGCATACATTTCAAATTTCCAAGGGTGATTTCGAATGTGCGCGGATTTGTGGATGCGTAAAGCGCAATCCGCTTAATAGCCCTCAATGGCTCTCAATAGTTCTCAATAACCTCTCTTACAGGTAAATAAGTGGACTCTCATTGGTTATTGACGATATTGCGCATGCGCTTTGCACATTTAGGTTGGGGTAATATACTTTATGCCTGCGTAAAAAACTAGGGACGTATTAATAAAGTTCTAAATTCAGTAAGTCACGTCAGAAACGAAGAGAAATTCCCGGTAACTTATCGGTAATTTCTCCAAAGCCTTTTTTATCGAGAAATTATGAGAATTTGCATTTTTCAATAGTGCGAACGAGAGGTTTCGATTAGCTATAGAGAAACACCGTAGAGGGGAATTTCCGTTGTACGTTCTCCGTAGCCAATCAAAACCTTCCATTCGCTTCGTCGCAGAATGAAATATTAGTTCATTTGAAACAAATCGCATGGAATTTTCCGTAAAGTTGTAGATACGTGAATATTTTTAGCTGGAGGTAAATACGACCCTATAATCAATATTTTCTAATAGTAATTACTGCTCTATAGCTTGAACTTTGAAGTTGATTGAAAAAAAAAAAGTTATTTAAACGAAGAAACCTAAAGTATAAATAACAAAATTAACGTTCTCTTAAATTCTCAATGTTCCCGGTAACTTACGGTATGTTTCACTGTTACCTTTTCCAATTTAATGTTACCGAGAATTTTCGAACTCTACGTATTATACGTTGTAATATACGTGTAGAAAACCATGTATATTACTTGACGTATTATACTTACCCAACCCTGGTTAACGTCTTTCAGCATACGTGTATATATGTAAAAATTGTTAAGGGATGATTAATTTGGCGCTTGTGTGTAAAATTCTTTCGATTTAATCCTGTTTAATATCAAATTTCCCTCTGGAATTATCATTTTATATTTAAAAGTAGAAGGGCGTAATATACTTTGCGCTCACGTGGAAAACTAAAAACGTATTATACGTTATAATATGCACGTAGAAAACCACGTATATTACACAAGTAAAACTCATTTTTGTGGACAGTGGCGCAACCAAGCGTCGCGGATCTAAACTATTTTGGATAACACGCATTTTAACCAAGCATTGTCGTTCTAAGAGACTTCGGAATTTACCGGTATAGTACAGTGAAAAAAGTACTCGTTATTTAAATCAGTAAAGTTAATTCAGAGTAAAGAAGCCCATCCGTTTACTTGTCCGACTCATTTAAATTCGATAATTGTCCCTTTAGCTTAAAACAAAGAGATGACAATGCGTAAATTTGTTTTGCTGAAACGCTAACTGGCGTTTCTTGCTTCTACGTATTTATTACATACTTTTTCAAGAATGAAATAATTCAGAACCTGAAAAGTGACGTTGATCTAAGGTTTGTATACAGTTCCTTTTTTCTTAAAATTTGTAATCCTATATTGAGTAAAAGTGCAGGTCGGTGACTCTTTCACCGAGCAATGCTTTATTCTAGAATTTGAAAGTTTACATTAAATTATCGTGTATTGCAGAATATTTGATTATTATTCCACCACGTTTCACAGGAAATAGGAGCGATTCGCCAAAGCCTGCAGCAAGATTATTTTCTAGACTTTCGCAATGAGTTCTTTTCTGGGTTATAAATTCTGTTCGTTTACTAATTCATCCATTCGATCCTGCTTTCCACTTGTAACCAAGCGGCTGCAACAAACCCATGCAGCTTTAAATGTCATAGAAAACAAGCAGGTAAATGTATATTTTGTTTTATTTGATATACAAAAATGATACTTGAAAATTAAAATATTGGTAATGTCGATGAAACATAATGAAGAAACTTTGTTGATAATAACTGAAGTCTTAATACAGATGTCTGGAGTGGTGCCTGTCTTCAAGCGAGCCGTGAAATTTGGTGATAAAACAGCTTTGCGAGACATACATGGAGATTACACATATCGGGGTTTATTTTTGAGTTCTCGGCAATTTGCAAATCAACTTTCACAAATGCTTGATGGCGTATTGCAGAAAAGAATTGCATTTATGTTACCAAATGATGCTAGCTATGTCATCACACAGTGGGCATGCTGGATGAGTGGTCAAATAGGTAAAAAGAAATACATGTAATTTATTTGAATACGAGTGTTAAAAATGATATAAAAATAGCTAACTCTTAAAACTATCTCAAAACTTTAAAAAATGTATTCAAAAATTGAATAATACTATATGAAATAATAAAGTGTAGTCCTGATTCAAAACTTCAAATTGAAGTTTTGAAGAAGAATAGAAGGCTATCGGAATAATTTCAACGACTTATTGTCTATTGATAAGAATAAAAGTAAAACGGGTTAAAGGACCCAATTTCAAAAACCTTGCCCTCTATATATATTCGCAGGGTCACCCTGCTGAGTGATCTCCACAAGGTTTCCGTCATCGCTCATTGCTTGTTTTTTGTTTCTTGCTGTTGAATATACATATAAAGATTCATGTATTGCTACAGTTAACCAGTGACAGAACATCTCATGTTACCTCGATATGAACTGTTGACCTAGGCTAACCTAAATTAACTTAAATTAAATCATTCGAAACATTACAGATACGATATATAAAGTTAAACATACGTTAATATTCTGAACTGTTCTAGAGCGACTTAGTTCAAATTAATTTGGATTAGGTTAGGTTCACAGATAGAATCTGACCATCTGTTAACTACAATACTATATCAAATTCTAATTCAAGTAAACATACTAAATATCGAATTATATTCTAATGGATGTATCAAACTCATGATTTTTAAGAAAGTGTCAATACGTTTGCCAAAATGATATCTTATTTTAAATAAGTATTCAGCAAGATAATGCATGAAGTGATCGCAGATACCATAACAAGGAATATTTTTTTGCACGACTTTCCATAATTTTTGTACATTTTGCCTATGAACTCCACTTTCAGAATCCACAAAATTAAGTGCATGGTTTACTGTTGTATGTTCTGAGTCTTTAAATGTCTACTCAACGAAAGTACATTCAAATCATAAAAATTATTTTGTTAATAACTTTTTAACAAACATCGAGCAGTGGCTAAAACTTTGTGGAGGTCTCTCAGTAGGGTGATTTTGGCAACATATCAAAATCAAGGTCGTCGGAAGTGGGTCCCCTAAATCCCAATTTCACCGATATAAAATAATGAAATTCCTTTACTTTCAGCTGTACCATTAAGTGCTTTAAGTCCAACACCAGTTCTTGATTATTATATTAAGGACTCTGATGCAACGGTGATAGTCACTACATCAGAACTTGTACCACTGTTGGAGCCTCTCGCCAATAACACAAAGAAGCACCTTGTAGTATTTGATGATACACTCAGAATCTTGGCAATGAAACCTAGCGATAAAATGGCAAATAATAAGCAAATCAGTCAAAGTGATTCAGAGGATTCACTCGAAGCTGGCATGAAAGACGATTTTTATAATTTAAGCGATGCCATGTTTGTGTATACGTCAGGTACTACTGGCAAGCCAAAAGGTATGTCCACTTTCTTACGCAGAACTACTGAGTGACTAATTAATATCAATTACACTTTTATACTCATATTGTATATTATCATATTATGATACATGAGATATATTGCAACAGCTTTATGTTACATAACTGGCATCATCCGACCATGCGTCAACATGATGCATGAATTTTTAGTTTAGATGCTATTTCTAGGTGTAATTATGAAAGAAATATTGATTAAAAAGTAATGATAATATTAATTGGTAAAGGTGCAGTACTAACTCATAAAAATCTGCAGTCACAAGTTAATGCACTGGTGAGTGCATGGAAGTGGTCGGAGAAGGATATCGTATTGCATACATTGCCTTTGAATCACATTCACGGAATAGTAAATGTGCTACTATGTTCACTTTATGCTGGAGCACGTTGTGTCATGCTACCAAAATTCGAAACCTCTAGTGTCTGGAGCCAACTTCTTGGCATCAATTTGGCAAATACAGAAAGAGTAAATATGTACATGGCAGTGCCTACTATCTACGTGAAGCTAATACAAGAGTTCGATCAACTTTTCAGTAAAAATTCTAAAATGACTGAGTATATTCATAATGTGTGCACTACTAAAATAAGGTTGGTACTTTTTCTCACCTCTTAGTGTAAGCTGTTAATTTATCAACATACTAGTCTTATTTAATCATCATGCGCTTACAAGGAAACATTCCCAAGTGTCCGCCCCCGATCTTATTGATTTTCATATATGTTGAAGAACACAAAAATCTAAGAGACACGTGTTTTTTTATATCTGCAATGATCCACATTTAAGGGGTGAAACAACCCCCCAAAGTTTGGCGAAAATTCAGTTTTTATAATAATTTTCGTAGAAGCAGTGGAGGGATTTCGACGAAACTTTGCATAAACGTATTCCGTATAAGGACGGTGTAAACACAATATTATCCAGCAATGTTACACCCCCCCGAGGGGGTGAACTACCCTTCAGGCGACATTTTTTTGTAATATCTAATAAACAAACACTCCTACTTACGTTCCACTTACGCGATGTGCTTGCTCACAAAAAATGAAGAATGCGTGTTTTTTGCTTTTTACCAATAAACATTTACATATCGGTTGTAAACAATGAATTTAGGTGGTATACGGGTATATTCCGAGTAGCTTTATTGGGTTATATCGTGACCCCAATTCATTGTATATAAATCTTGTGAACGTGCTAATTCCTCAAAATGTCGTTGGTTTTCATATTATGCAATTATTTACGAATATCGCTAACTCTATTATCGTAAAAACAGTAAAAATCCAATTTTACCGTTTCACCAAGGAGATTGTATTACTAGATGGAAACGGGTGATGACTGCGTCATCGGATCTGTTGCGAAACTATTTTAGTCCATTAAACTTTTTTTTAAATTTATTAATAAATNACGACGGCTCAAGTCCGAAAGATATAACGAGTCGAGTACTTCATCGACTCGAGTTACTCAAACATTGGCAACTCGAGTTTGGACTCGAGTCAATATTAACAATGTGCGTAAATGTTCTCACTACATGCGCGTGATATTGCATTATTCCCAAAGTGAATTGGAATAATTTCAGGTGATACTGTGGAATATGAAAACGGTATATATAAGGTTGCGAAACTATTTTAGTCCATTAAACTTTTTTTTAAATTTATTAATAAATAATTGCATGCTATGAAAACCAACGACATTTTGAGGATTTAGCACGTTCACAAGATTTATGTACAATGAATTGGTCACGATATAACCCAATATAGCTAGTCAAAATATACCCGTATACCACCTACATTCATTGTTTACAACCGATGTGTGAATGTTTATTGACAAAAAGCAAAAAACACGTATTTCTTAATTTTTTGTGAGCAATCATATGGCGTAAGTGGAACTTAAGTAGGAGTGCTTGTTTAATAGATATTAGAAAAAAATGTCGCCTGAAGGGTAGTTCATCCCCTTGGGGGGTTGTAGCATTGCTGGACAATATTGTGTTTTCACCATCTTTATACAGAATACGTTTATACCCAGTTTCGTCGAAATCCCTCCATTGCTTCTACGAAAATTGTTATAAAAATCGAATTTTCGCCAAACTTTGGGGGGTTGTTTCACCCCTTAAATGTGGACCATTGCAGATATAAAAAAACACGTATCTCTTAGATTTTTGTGTTCTTCGACATATATGAAAATCAATAACATCGGGGGCGGACACTTGGGAATGTTTCCTTGTTAGTAAAAATCAAATTGGTTCAGATTCCCAATACAAGTGAGTTGACCATATACAATTGATAATGTCAGAAGTGAGAAAGTCACATGAAATTCCTAGTGGGTATTTTAAGTATTGAATGATATTTGCCAACAGAGACTGACAGTCGAAATAACTAGATATTCACGGAATGAGTCAGATGGTCAGTTTTTGACAGATTACACATAAGGAAATAAGATATCACTATCTGAAAATCGATCTTTTAATTAAATCGATTTTTTAATTAAAGTTGTTAAATTTCACAAATTTTTTTAGAGATCTAAATAACCCTCATTGATCTTGAAAAAATTCCTAGATCTCTAAGATTTATATACGCATAATTTTATACAAAAACATCCGACAATTAAAATGCGCGTAAAAGATTAAAAACCGAAAAACTTCATTTCTTCTCCCGCTCCACAGGAGGAGGGGAGCGGGTGTATCAACGTTGGTTCACGTTATCTTATGACCCCATAATCCAATTTAAGGTGAAGTGAAAGCCCCTTCAAATCAGTCGATTCGAATATAACACTTTTTTTTAAGGGTATTAGACCAAACTGTCCGAAACTTTGACACATAACTCGTGATCATCTAAGAATTGTCCTGACACATTCAAAATTCGGATTTTTGGAAAAAAATGTTTAACTTAGCCCAGACCAGAACCAAAATGGCGTCGAGCTCTCATATTTCGATTAATATACAATTATCGAAGGCTCTGATATGAGAAACGAAAGGATCAGGACAATTTTACGACAATTTAGAACACTCTAGTAATCGATAACCTCGCATTTGAACGGGATAAAGGCAAAAAAAAAAGTGTAGTATACGCTTCTATGCTAAAACGATGGTAATACGAGGTCTCGGAGTGTAAATTTAATTGACTTGGAAATCACAGATGGCGCAGGGGGTCCCTCTGCAGTCAATTAGGGCCCTAGAAAGCACGAATCCAGAGGATTTCTGGAGTTTTACTTCGATTTTTTGATATTTATTGTTGGGTAAATGTTACGTTTTCGAAACTAACATGTTATGTAGCTTAAAAGTAACATGGACGTTAGATGTTAGTTATTATTTCCCACTCGCAATCAGTAACGTAACATGTTATGTAGCATGTTATATTAATGTTATAATTTCAATTACCTTAAAATAATGTTAATTTTTCATACATTTAATAAAAAAAATCACGTAATTTTATCCAAAATTATATAATTTTTTATTTTTAATTATTTTTTGGTACTTGACAATAGGTAGATATTAAATGACAGATCAGACTTTCAATGAAATTATGTAATGATAAACTATCTGATTTTACTTAAAGACAATTAGGATTTCATTCGACTAGCAAACAATGACTGATAATGTATATGCGCGTATGAATTAAAGTCACATTTTTTCATACGAGTAGTAAACAAAATATGACATAAGTTAATCTTATGACAATGACGATGACGATGATGTAATAAAATAAATGACAGCACCCATGTAGTTCCGTTTTGTTACAAATATGTGCTGCATATACACAGTCAGGACAGTAACATAATGTGAGATGAGAGTAACAAAGTTACGCTACATTTATATACATATGATAGTAACAAATGTTATGCAACCTGTTAGCTCCATGTTACATAACTGTTAAGGTACTACATTGTAACAAATGTCTTGTAACTAGTTAGCTCTATGTTACGTAACCGTTTGGTTATTACATTGTAACAAACGTTATGTTACTTGTTAGTTTTAAGTTACGTAATTGTTAGGTTTGGTGTTCAGTGGGATCTTATCATTCTAAATACGATGCACAAGAGGCTGCTACAATGTTGACGATTAAAACAATAATCTTTCTTGTTAGATTAATGGTTAGTGGATCAGCGCCACTTCCTAAACCGATATTTGATAGATGGGAGCAAATAACTGGGCATAGATTACTAGAGAGATACGGGATGACCGAAACTGGTATGGTACTCTCAAATCCTTTAGATGGTGAACGAATTCCAGGTATCAGTACATTGTGATAGCATTATTATTTTATAAACAAGTGTCTTTTAGCGTACAAGTTTTCCATATAAGGTAATCACTTTTCTAAGGCCACTTTTTGTAGGAACGGTTGGTACACCATTGCCTGGAGTAAGTACAAGAGTGATGAAACCAGGGGTTTCTGAAGATGATACTGAAATTCTTGTCCAAAACATAGCAGAGAAGAAGGATGTATTTTCTAAAACTAAGGGTCCCATTAGCGGAGACTTGCAAGTTAAAGGAGACTCCGTTTTTCGACAATACTGGAATAAATCAGAAGCCACTGCAGCTGTCTTTACCAGTGATGGCTGGTTTAAAACAGGTAATGTTTCTTGAAAAATGATTAAAATAATTCATTAAGGTGAAGTGAAACCCCCTTCAAATCAGTTGATTCGAATACAACACTTTTTTTAAGGTTATTAGACCAAACTGTCCGAAACTTCGACACATTACTCGTGATCATCTAAGAATTGTCCTGACACATTCAAAATTTAGATTTTTTAACTCAGCCCAGACCAGAACCAAAATGACGTCGAGCTCTCATATTTCGATCAATATGCTAATTATCGAATGATGAATGTGATATGAGAATCGAAATGGTCAGGCAAATTTTACAACAATTTAGAACACTCTGGTAAACGATAAACTCGCATTTGAACGGGATAAAGGCAAAAAAAGTGTTGTATGCGCTTCTATGCTAAAACGATGGAAATACGAGGTTTTGGAGTGAAAATTTAATTGATCTGAAAATCGCAGATGGTGCAGGGTGTCCCTCTGCAGTCAATTAGGGCCCCAGAAAGCATGAATCCAGAGGATTTCTGGAGTTTTACTTCGATTTCTTGATATTTATTGTACGAAAACGACAGGTGGAATATGCCATTTGGTACAATATCCAATATAATTCAACACAGTTGTCAATATAAAAACGAACGTCGGCAACGTAGGCATTTAGAAAAATCTTCTTTGTCGACGTCGATCAAGTTCCTCGACGTGTTTCACTTCACCTTAACAATGTGCGTACCTGTTCACAGTACATGCGCGTGATATTGCATTATTCCCAAAGTGAATTGGAATAATTTCAGGTGATACTGTGGAATATGAAAACGGTATATATAAGATGCTAGGTCGAAGCTCTGTGGACATTATTAAAACCGGAGGATACAAAGTCAGTGCATTGGAAGTGGAAACCGTATTACTTGGGCATCCTGATATAATTGATTGTGCAGTTGTTGGGCTTCCAGATATTACATGGGGTCAAAAGGTATATGCATAGTCTGATAATGAAGTGTGTTTTTCATGTTAATTTCCGTATTCTAATTTTTCCAGTACTGTCATTAATGGCTTTATTACATGCCGTTTATTTTGAAAGTGACCTAAGTTCATTTATGTTCAAATTGAGATATTTTAGAGTTTGTGTTTCAATAAAATTAAAAATATCCGTACACGATACCAATGTGTCACCCTGCTTAAGTGTATCTAAGAGAGTTAAATTTACAATTCCTATTAAAATAATAGGAATTATTAAGTGAATAATATGTGTTTTCTTCCCACAAATGGAATTAAGCCACTTTCAAAGTTAACAACTAGATTTGTTATAAAATTTGAAAGAGTCCAAGTCGAATCGACAACTTAAAATGCTTCAAATTGAAAGACCAATACTCCATTTATTTTATATTTCTTGACAACACGTTAAAAACACAATTTATGCAATTCAGGAAATCTTCTAACTATATAAATTACATAACAATTTGTTGCTCATCAACATTTTGTGTATGTGGGAGGAATTTGAAGAAGTCATGATGCTCCGGTGGTATATATTGTAATAAATCCATCATGTCCTTGAATTTCGCTGTTGTAATTCGTTTTATATTTTTATAAAGTGGTGTCAATACAATATTTTCGAACTTTCTTGGTCTACCCAGACGTGGTAATAAATCCAGAATTTTAAACTCTGCATTTTCATCCATTGATATCTTATAGAAAATTTTATATGGTTAATTTCTCAAAAAACTGAATTAAACGGTCTTGTTTTTTTTCGCTGCAAAAATTAAACGTACAGATTATTCAACTAAAGCAACTGTCCAAAATTGAGGTTAACTTTTTAAATACTAATTAATTAAAATTACCTTCATCAATGCCTTCGGACATTTGAAAATCCGCACTTTCGGACATTATCAATAATGGATTGGACTTAGGCCATTTTCAAAGTAATATTTTTAATTATTGAGAAAACTACGAAAATGTATGTGTACAAAATTATCGTATACTCTGAATATACTTATCCGAAAAATGTTGTTTATGACAGCTACTTTCAAGTTGTACACGTTACTACAGTCAACAAAAAATAATTGACAAATCGACTTAGGTCACTTTCAAAATAAACGGCTTATGTGCTCTATTTTGAAGTAAATTTCTAATAATAATTTTTATTCTATTTTCCCATTGATTTAGATAGCAGCCATTGTTGTTGCAAGGGAAGGATCTGAGGTAATATTATCACAGTTACGGAAATATGCGAAGAAATCGCTACAGGCTTATGCTGTTCCCACTGTTCTGAAAGTGGTTGATAAAATACCTAAAAATAGTATGGGAAAGGTGAATAAGCCAGATCTCTTGACTGCCATATTCCCAGATTCTAAATTTTAAGTTTCTCCTTTCATTTATTTTTCTTCCCAGTCAGGAATGAAAAATATACTTATTGTAAGACATAAGTCGAGTCTATGATCTCTTAAATTATTTGTATTTTAAGAGAAACATGTTTCATTTTATGAACAGATTCGTGAAATGTGCAGAAATACAATAATACATTTAAGTATGAGAACTTAAGTTCATGGCTGTGTTCTTTATTGTAATTACAACTTGTTATACATAAAACAAATTAGTTAATTATTATTTTGAAGTTTTCGTATTAGTGAGATAAAACTGTCTTATTGACAATATGACTAACTATATAAAAATGCTTTTTATTCCTATACGTATAAAGATGTTCCTTATCACCATTTAATAGTTTTCATATCCTGCTCTGAATATTTGATAAAAAGTGCAAATGTAAACCTATATTTATACATGATAACGATGAAGTCGCTTTTCAATTTCGAATACTTCACATTTGTAACATAAGTAGCGATGTGACGAGTCGAATACTTCGTCAAATCGAGTTACTCAAACATTGGCAACTCGAGTTTGGACTCGAGTCAATAACTCGGTGCCGCATACATTCGACGCGGCTAATGGAGTCTATTGCGAATAAAACGACTCGATTAACAACGGCTCGAGTCCAAATGATATAACGAGTCGAGTACTTCATCGACTCGAGTTACTCAAACATTGACAACTCGAGTTTGGACTCGAGTCAATAAACTCGGTGCCGCATACATTCGACGCGGCTAATGGAGTCTATTGCGAATAAAACGACTCGATTAACGACGGCTCGAGTCCAAAAGATATAACGAGTCGAGTACTTCATCGACTCGAGTTACTCAAACGTTGGCAACTCGAGTTTGGACTCGAGTCAATAACTCGGTGGCGCATACATTCGACGCGGCTAATGGAGTCTATGGCGAATAAAACGACTCTAATTACTCAAACATTGGCAACTCGAATTTGGATTCGAGTCAATAACTCGGTTCCGCATACATTCGACGCGGCTAATGGAGTCTATGGCGAATAAAACGATTCGATTAACGACGGCTCAAGTCCGAAAGATATAACGAGTCGAGTACTTCATCGACTCGAGTTACTCAAACATTGGCAACTCGAGTTTGGACTCGAGTCAATAACTCGATGCCGCATACATTCGACGCGGCTAATGGAGTCTATGGCGAATAAAACGACTCTAGTTACTCAAACATTGGCAACTCGAGTTTGGACTCGAGTCAATAATTCGGTGCCGCATACATTCGACGCGGCTAATGGAGTCTATTGCGAATAAAACGACTCGATTAACAACGGCCCGAGTCCAAATGATATAACGAGTCGAGTACTTCATCGACTCGAGTTACTCGAACATTGCCAACTCGAGTCGACAACTCGATGCTGCATACATTCAGTGCAACGAGTCGAGTCAAAAGCGAGTTGAAGAGTGAGACAATTCGAATAACGATTACTCGAATAAGCAAATAAGGCGCGATTGGTATCTGGGTTCGAGTAACTCGGTCTCATTCTTACCCTCGTAATTTGCATTCGTTTGTACTAATAACTCGAGTTACAATAAAAACGACTCGAGTTGACTCGAATACACGCTTCACTCGAGTTTAATGAGCTAAAATTCTCGACTCGTCACATTACTAAACATAGGTTTAATCTATGCTGAAATCAGAAGTAAATAACTGAGTACATCTACATCTTACACCGGTTTTATAACTATCCGTATCATAACTATGGGTGGTAAAGGTGTTTTGTACACGCTATTTTACCCCGGTATTGTAAAACCTGTTTAGCAACGTCAAGTTTTTTTAATTACCGAGTGGAGTGTTACTAAACCGGCTTTAGGAGAATTTGTAAACCACATAAATTAGATTTTTTCGAAAATAGAAAAATCCAAATAAATCATGTATGTCCGCATTTATCGACAAAATTAATTTATTCTAAGCGGGGAACAGTTTTCCTTTGAAAACCCGTTCTTGGTCGAGAAAAGAATACACAGTAGCGTCGCACATTTATTTATTTATTACTAGGCGCGAGACGCTACCGCGTCTCCTGATAGCATAGACCATGGATACCTAAAACTGCGCAAAGGACCTCCCACCCAAATCTTCAGTAAACGGAATGGTTTTGAAGTCCACCGCATATGGCGCTTATTTTCTTGCTGCTTCCTTCCAGGATTGCCTTGCTGACAACCGTGCTAACTGCTCTGCATGAAGCGAAATGGGCTACGACGCAGGTTTGGCTTCAGACGATGCAGGCTGCTTGCTGGATAACAGACTAGTTATGTTGCTCTCAAAATAATTTAAAAAATAATGGTTAAAAATGAGGACGCTTATTTGATCCGTGGATTACTTATTTATTTATTTTAATGTCATTTCATTAACAATTCTTTGCATACACAGAGTCGAACAGTGTTTACAAAATGAAGGACCAATGGGATGATCCGATCAGAGGTTCTGATTGGCTCATGGTCTCAGCCTGTACGAAACCGAAGAAGGAAAATAACGCGCGTTCAATCGCCGAAAATCCAGAGGGCAGTGTTAGGTCGGGTATCGTTTGCTCAGGAGCAGCGATAACGGTTGCCTGAGGACATCGATCGGACCGGGCCTCGTGGGTCGTTTAGGGACTCGCTTCCAGATGTCGTCCTCGTCGAGTAAAGTAATAAAGATACTTTATTTCAGGTGCCTCGTGGTTAACAGGAATGACTCGTAGACTCGTCGACTTAGGGGCTATTCGCCCAGAGTTACAGGTGCCTTGCACACAGGTTACAGAATTGAGATAGTTCAAACTTCGCTGGTCAGAGAGTGAGCTTTTCGGCGCGGGCCTTTTTATACTAAACCTGAGTGTTCCTAAATGTAGAAAAAAGATGCTCATTGGTGGGTTTTTAAGATCGAGGAGGGTAATGTCTCGTGTGATTGGTTTGGGAACAGGCTGAAAGGGAAACAGGTGGAAAGTCATCTTTTCCAGACACTCCAAACGATTGCTTTTCCCAGGGGCTGTTATCTGGTTTGGAGTGCGGAAGTACGCAGGGAAACAAGGGGAGATAAAGAACGAGGGAGAGCGTGTCTCTAGGAGCGTTTGGAGCACGAGACGCGCTGCTTCGAGTTTCTTTCCTAATATTACTTAAAATAAAATGTTAGGTAGGGACCTAACAGCAGCCAGTACCGCTGCCTGCCGTGACGTCATTTTCAAGCACAGCGCCCTCCACGGCGCTAATCAAGCACTCCCGTAGGAAAGCAAGCACCGTTTGAAGTGGGTTTAACCCTTAGGCCATATATATCTACACCTCGCGTTAGACCTCCCGCCCCCAAATTTTCACTGAGCAGAATGGCTTCAACTGTGTAGGTGAGTTGTCGGCTGACGTGGTCCCGATGAATTCCGAAGTCTCCTAGAAACCCATTGGTATAGGCCGTAGAATACTTGGCGGAAACTACCCCAACTTTGAAAAATTTGAGTTATTCCACCGTACACCCGTTACCACCACTGTCGCCTATTGTATCTGTCTCTCTCGCACTCCCAGGATCAGTGCGTCAACTCCCGTGGCCACACCTCCTGTACCTGCCATTTTCTTGCCCTTGGGTCAGGGTGGTAGTGCACTCTCCTTTCCTCCACAAAGAAAACCAGAGGCCACGCCCTATTGTCTATCGCACTCATACTAAAGGCTCGCGCAGTTTATGCCGAAGCGGATCGCAGCGCATCGCATTGCATAAATTCGCACGGGACCAATTTCATGGATTTTATATGGACTATTGCATATTACAGGCGGAGCGCATCGACGAATCGCCCTCTAAGCGGATTTTTTGCGCGTGACCCGTTGCGACGTCCTCCGCCCCATCAAAGTGTGCGACGGATTTGCACAATGGGTGCATTCAGAGGAGACAACTGTTGAGTGGTCGGTTATCGCTCATCTGCTGAATGGGTATGTTCACTCAACATGTTTACTGATCAGGACGCCATTTTATGTATCACAAATTTTCTACGCTACCTACGCTCAACATGTTGGGTATATCAAATTCAAATTCAAATCGTGTAGATTCAAGTTAAAGAAACAAGGACGGCAAATGAAATCAATTATTACAGTGAAATGTATGAAGTAAACGGTCTTCGGTACGATGTAGTAGAGAGTGCAGAAGTGCATAAAATGTTACAAAATGGTACGTTATTTCGAAATGTATACTTAACCTTAATTTAATGTATTCTATCTTCCTAATATAGACCAAAAAACTAATAATAAATGAATAATTAAGTTAGTATGAACATGTGTGTTTTTTTTCAGACGTTACATACTGTTACGAATATTTTTCTAAAAATATATCATCTATAGAAGTTGTTGGTGTATGTAACGAAAAGGTGCAAAATCCTTCAGGTAATGAAGTAGCTGAAATAATACACGACGTACATGTACTGTAAGCACTGACTGCTAATATAATGAATATAATTATATTAATAGTCAGTGCTATAAGGAGGTTAGGTCCACAAAAAATAATTTTTGTGGACAGTGGTGCCACCAAACGCCGTGGAACGAAACTATTTTGGATACCACGCATTTTAAACAAGCAATGGGCTTCTAGAAGACGTCGGAATTCATCGGTATCAGTGCTAATGTAGGCTGGGAAAGAAGACTCCGAATATCAAATGAAATTGTTATGCTTGGATGGTTGAGATTACGGCGCGGCACTAGAGTTCCAAATCCAGTAAGTTACGTCAGAAACGAAGAGAAATTCCCGGTAATTTATCGGTAATTTCTCCAAAGCCTTTTTTATCGAGAAATTATGAGAATTAGAATTTTTCAACAGAGCGAACGAGAGGTTTCGATTAGCTATAGAGAAACATCGTAGAGGGGAATTTCCGTTGTACGTTCTCCGTAGCCAATCAAAACCTCCCATTCGCTTCGTCGCAGAATGAAATATCAATTCGTTTGAAACAAACCACATGGAATTTTCCGTGAAGTTGTACATACGTGAATATTTTTAGCTGGAGGTAAATACGACCCTATAATCAATATTTTCTAATAGTAATTATTACTCTTTAGCTTGAACTTTGAAGTTGATTGAGAAAAGAAAAGTTATTTAAACGAAGAAACCTAAAGTATAAATAACAAAATTAACGTTCTCTTAAATTCTCAATGTTCTCGGTAACTTACGGTATGTTTCACAGTTACCTTCTCCAATTTAATGTTACCGAGAATTTTCGAACTCTAGCGCGCGACGCCCCTGGTGGTCGATGGCCGGACTTCGTCCCGGGCCCGCCACACTTTAATACACCCGTGCTGTCACCTAGCGTCCCGTTTGGTTACTATTTATTGGGTATCAAGCGTCAACACGGGGACTGGGCTTCTATGGAGACTTCTGTATTCTTTGCTTCTAGCAATCCATGGTTTATAGTCAAAGGTCCACAATCGGTTGATTGTCTTTGTTGATCGTTTCTTGGTGAATATTTGTGGGCCGTTGTTTTTTGCATGATATCTTCTTTACTTTTATTGTGTGTACGTTGCGAACTTTGTACTTGCTGCTGCAAGAGTAACGTTCGTCTTCGCAGAAAAAGCACGTAAGTATCTGTGCGTTTACGAATTATTAAATGCCGTCCTTTGACATCAGCCACGTTTTACTTGGGACACCTTATGCAATGTAAAAAAAAACTAACGTTATTTTTATTGTTCTATTTATGGAAAGTAAACTTAATGAGAAAGGGCACCACCTTGCTACACGAAATCAATTTCTCAGGGTATATTTAATTAACGATCCACTTCCGCCGACCGGTCGTTCATCGATAACTTTTTCTTTGACATTTAACTTCCATGGCTTATTAACAATTTTATTGTTCGGATTTGACAGACACTCTAGTTGATAAGTATTATTTTGATGTTTGTGAATTATATGTTTCTTGTAGACCTGTTAATGAAAAGTTTCATTACGGATATACTGTTTATTGACTCGGAATTAATACATGGCCTGATCCTAGTGATAGATTAGATTGAAATATGTTTAATGGAATCTGATGTTAGTGACGGGTTGTATCGTCAATTAATGAAGTACATTGTCTTTTATAATGTCTCATTGACTATGTTGTTCAAATGTTAATGGTTTTTTTAATCAGATATTCTAAGGATGGAAACTGGAGGAGTTCTAGCAGCGGAACGTAGCCCGGCACGTGCCAATTTACATGTTGCTTTTACTGAAAAAGGAGAAGTCAAAGAACGTAGGGAGAAGTTTCTCACAGCCAAATATGGTTCCCATCAGATGTCACTAATTCGTAAAAGACTGGCAGTTGAAATGTGGCTTTTTGATGAGCTGCAAAAATTGTACGAGTCAGTGGTAAGTTCGACACGGAATTATTGCATATATAATATATTAAAACGTACTAATACTTTACAGAATGAGAATGGAAAAAATCGAGAAGTTGAAGTTGATATAGATGAATTACTCGACATGGACAGTGATGACCACAGACGGAGTTATTTACAAGTTTGTAATTTATTAAATTTATACTATTTAAATATGTATCATTATCATCAAAATGACAAGTGATCGGATATACTTCCGAAAAGTTCATATGTCTGAATAATTTGATACTTCGTATACCTACATATTACGAGTATGATAGCAGAAATTGGTACAAATGTTATCCTTAAAGTAAAAATAACTGTTAATAATTTTTGAAAATTTTCATATTTCATTTAGTGCAAATTTAAGAGAAAAAAGTTTCATATATACATTGCTAGTTCTTGGAAACACATCTTTCATGTTCTATACACTTTTTTTCTAAAACCGTTATTCATTGAGAAAAATGTAATGCATTCCTAAAATACAAGAGTAGTTCATAACTAACCAAAATTACACTGATCATCTTATGCGTAACTGGGTGAAGCCCCCCCTCCCACAATCAGAGTCAAAATATATAGGTATACAAAGTTCAAAATTATTCAAAGGTATGCGCATTTCAAAACTTCATCCATGGTGTCTTTTGGAAATATTATATCTTATATTTTTCATATGATTCTTCGCGTATGTATAAGCTAAAATGTTTTTGATACATTGAATTAATTGGTGTCTGTTAACTGAGACACTTGTTAGCAAATGTATTCTTTAATCACAAGCTAATTTGTTATGTGTGGTTAATACTTAGACAGCACAACGATGACTGAAAAATGTCTAAAAGATGACGAATTTTCCAAAAAGTCATCTTTTGGTTATGGCATATAGTTGACAAAAAGAAGACGCAAAGATTTCTTATGCATCGGCTTTTGGCATTTTTTTAGTCAAGCCTAAAAGACAATGATTCGTCCTTTTCTAGTCAAGTCTACGAGATAACTATTCGTCATTCTTTAGTCAAGATTAAACCATGAAAAAGTTCAGATATCTTTTCATCGGTCTATATTCAATGCTTTTTTTGTCAACTTCAGAATGTAATTTTCGATAATCTCTCCTTCCTGTCGCACCTCTCCAGGGCAGGATGGTTACTTTTTTATGTGGACGTGGAATGTGGGCATTAGAAACTGAATAGGCATGGCATTACGATTTAAACCTAAAAACTAGTAATGGGTCTTATTTAAGGATGGACCGTTATCTGGGACACTTGCGAGAAAGCCACGCTACCGCCATGTGTCGTTCCCATTGAAACTGATTGGCAAGGCTGTTTCATTATCGCGAAAATAACAATAAGTTTGCGTTAGAGTCATATTTCATCAAATTTTAGAGTAACAGTAAATATATTTTTGTTACACATTTTTTCATCATATTTGAGAGAACAGCGAATATTTCACTATCAATTACTATATTTTTTGTTTATTCGGTTTCCGTTACAATGAACTCTTGCAATCGTAATCAATAACTTTGTAACTATTACTAAAATTATAGTATATACACCTAAAATTGCAAATTATAGGCACAATGTTATTTCAATATCACAAATTTCTCTTAGTATACCAATAGTAAGATAACTACATAAATTTGAATTATTAAAGAGAATAAAATAGCAAATGTTAGTGATCCTTCGGTATCCGAAATTATTTATCTTTTTATAAAAAGAAGTTCTAACGAAGTTCTAATTTTTAAATTTTATTTCTACATAAAACTACATCTAAACGAAACGGCGTTGATGCTGCACCTTTCACTTACTTTCTGACATCTTGCAGACAGTTTTTCACTTCCTCTATTAACACGTTCCCGCCGGCGCCAATTTTCATTTGTTTCCCCCAACGGCGGCACACAAATCTATGTCGCGCTTCATCTGGCGGCGCGCATTTCTCGCGTGTTCAGACTTGCACGCGCTTCTTGTTTCTTCAGTATTACATTGAGCGCTTACTTTGCAAATGATGTGACTCGTGCCGTTTTTTATATCCTAACCACAGATTTCTGTTAGTAAAAATAACTAAAAGGTGGTTAGAATATTTTTTTAAATTTTGCCCTTAAAAATATTTTTTTAATTTTGCCCATAACATGGATATGGAAATAAGTGATTCGTCTGATGAATGTGTAAATAGAGGCAGGAGAAACGCATCAAGATTACGAATACTTTCTTCCTCTTCAGGCGAAGATTTTGTTAACGTAAACAGCAACGTTATGGAATGTTCCTCGGGGGAAGATTTGAGTGTTGAAGTTACATTCATAATACTGAATTTTTATGTGTGTGTTATTAAGCAAAATTTATGTTCATAATACGTTATTAATTATAATTTTTATTCAAAATACACGTTTTTATGTATGTACGTTAAATACAACACTTTTTTTTAAGGGTATTAGGCCAATCGAATGCGAAACACAGGTAGTACACGCCGCCCGATGATGCGTCTAGCGCGAGCCACCGGTGGTACACGCCGCCCGATGGCGCAATCAAGCGCGAGCCACCGGTGGTACGCGCCGGCGTGAACGTGTTAAACATCCATACACCGACATCTTGTATAGTCTGCTATATTTAACAGTATGTAACGTTAGACATCTTTTAGATATTTCTTTGCCATGTCAAAAAGATGACTCGTAAAGGACAGCTATTCGCCATTTTTACCCTAAATGTGCTGTCTGGGATAGATTGTGTTATTCTAACACTTTTTCCTTTGTAGGATTTACTAGTGGATGCAAAGAAGCCTCCTCATGATGTGAAAGTGAGTGATTATACGATACAATTTAAGTTACTTTACAATAATTATATATTTTATGAGTTTTATTTTATTTATATGAATGTCAAGAAACAGATTAAAAGTTGGTATTAAGGTAGTAATTATTATATATTTCAGAAATTCATCAATGATTTACTGGAAAAAGCTAAAACTCTCTGAAGAGTGTGTATTTACCACGGATCAGTTATACTGCTGTATCTGTAAAAGTCACAAACATTGCTCACTACCAAATTTCAACATAAATGTGTACAAGTGAGAAGTGACCATGCAGCCTGAATCATGCAGAGTTTGCCGAGGAAAAGAATCTGTAACGATTTGGAATAAGTATTAACATTTATCTCAACTAATTTTTATTCAGGCGTACATACACATTGTTTCATATTGAAAACAAAAGAGAGAGAGAAAGAATCAGCATTTAACGCAACCATCTAGATACATGGTGATAAAATCATAGAAAGAAATTGTGTGCGCATCGCACACCAAGCATTGAAGCTGTTAGTACAGAGACTGCCGCCTAACCATAAAAAAAAAAAACAAAGTAAACCGATTTCCGTAACTCTGAGGAATTGCCTTCCAGCGTTGTAATATTTAATTAAAAAAAAAAAATCATAAAAAGTAGAGCGATGTTCTTTGAAATTGACAGGAAGGTACATTCTTCGCATACAATATAAATATGTATCATTATCATCAAAATGACAAGTGATCGGATATACTTCCGAAAAGTTCATATGTCTGAATAATTTGATACTTCGTATACCTACATATTACGNAAAAAAAAAAATCATAAAAAGTAGAGCGATGTTCTTTGAAATTGACAGGAAGGTACATTCTTCGCATACAATATATACTTGTATGTCAGTTTAGCACAGTAATTAACTCTCTTGAAACAAACTGGACCCCAACTTGCCACTTAATTTAGTAATTGGAATAATGGTACAAAGACACGAAGGGCAATAGCCATTGCTTTTATTAATTATTTCCAAAAGTAGATCATACTAATAAATGCATTATCCAATGTAAAACTAATTTGCCTCTGTGAAAAGTGGCAAAATAACGGCAGCAATTGTTTACTCGCGTGAACACGAAACTCTATTCAGGTAATAAGATGTGCGTGTTAATTGAATTCATTCGGAATGAAGTGCCAAATACGTGATAAATTCTATGGAAGTACACAATGTGTGCAGTGTATCTCGCCACTTCTGTGTTTTTATCAGAGTAGGCACACAGCGAAGTCCCAGTAACATTTAATTGTACGATTTATTACACCAAACAGGCACAATCGCAGACATCATTTAGCGTATATCTGCTTGAAATGGGAGGGATATTGAACAAATCTAAATTACGTACAAGTAAATTGTTTTGAAGATCAATAAGCTTATTTAACAACGGATAAATTTACCTAAGCAAATCCGAAGAGAAATACCTTGAAGTAACTATAAAAATTTCAAAATAATTCAAAAGTTTCTAATAATAATATTAATGAGTTATTTCAGCGATAGAGATATAAATTGTTTGATAATTTCCGCATATCAGAATTCTGTTTAGGCTTATGGAAATATGTTCTAACGGATGGCATAATGTGCATATTGCTGAAAAAGTTAGTCGAACAGGGCTATGAAATACTTTGGTCACGGTACTTTATTTAAAATTCGAAGTCTGATGATTTTAAGAGTATCAGAAAAACAATCAATACTGCCAAATGATACATGGATTGGAATGTAACGAAAAATGAAGAGCCAATGATATTCCGTTTGAACAGTCGATATGCAATGATGAATGGCATTTAATGTATTTCTTTTTGATCGTTGTTTAGAGAGTCCCTCTTTTTCAGTCAGATTATACGGTATCGAAGGTGCTACAAGATACAGCCCTGTATATCACTGTTCGCTTCTTAGATACATATCCTTTCGTTATATGCCGTGGCATGTCTTTGACGATAGATATTAAGTAAGAGAAAAATCAAACCGCAATCTTAATACCATGTTGTATTATAACGTAATAATAGAGAAAGTTTCGAAAGGGAATACGTGATTTGTTGTGTACAAGAAAGGAAGAAAAACTAGCATTAGTTGCGTCAGAGGAAAGAATTTGCAGAAGCAACACAATGAGGCGTGTCCTTCGATGACATAAATCAGGAAGAATGCGGAAGGATAGGGATTAATTAAATCCTTGATATCTTCAATCGTCGCACAAATTATTTCACAGCCCTTCGGATCTTACATTGCCAGCTGTAATTTGCGTTTACGGGCTAACAGTTTATTTCACAGCCGGTATCGAACAAATGTATTCCTTGCAATGTCGCGCATTAAATGTTTCAAGATGGTATACTATTGTTAAGTGTTCACGTTGAAATCCAGTTGTTGCGAAGATCTTCATAAATTTGTGGAGCTTCTCGGTTGTCGTGTAAGTAGCGATACTTTTGTACTGCACAGTTAGATCAGGTACTCTAACCCTACAACCAAGGTGCTAATCGGCGAGGTTTTTAGGAAGAGGAAAAGGAAAGCCTCCTGGGATTTCCGCTGGAATGAAAGGTGCACCTGCGATTTCGTTAATTTTACCAGAGATGAATGGGGAGATGTTTCCACTATTGTCTAAAGGGAGGCACGGCTCCCTAGCGCCGTGGAACTGCGTTCAAAAGGACGAAATGTTCTCTATCGGTAAAGAAAAATCCGTCTGCAGATTTCAAATACAGCACAGTATCGATAGAATGAAGTTATCGCCTTTTCGTTTTTAGTATCAGGGTCAACGTAGATTGGGAAAGAAGGCTACAAACATCAAATAAAATTGTTATGCGTGGATGATTGAGATTACGACGCGGCACCCACGTATACCCTGTTTTACCGATCACGAAGATTTCGCCCCTTTGAAAGTAGTTCCAATTTTTACACAGGTGTAAAGTGCGTAGAGGGCGCTAGTAGGCCGTGCCTCTCATTCAAAGAATGGCGTGAAGCATTTCCCCGCTCATTTCTCATTTTACCAAAGATATTTACGCACTCTCGGAAATCTCGCTTCGTCGAACACCCGTTTCGCAGTAGTTTGTATTTCACTTCCGAAATGTTAACTCTCAGCGCACAGCCCATGTTCTCGCAATGGCAATTATGCAAAGGTATAAGTTGCAAAAAGAACTTGTGATAATCCATACCAAAATGGTGAATGGTTCTTCGAGAATGCAGAAAAGAAAAGTCACGACCAAGGCGAATTTGATTGGCACGCGAATGTCGGAGCGATGCTATTTGCATTTGTGTTTTGAGTTGCATAGGGAGAAAATTTTGCGAGGTATATATCGGAACAAAATATCAAAGACTAGGTCTCTCTTGTTAATGAATTTAGGAAATTGTGAGATGTTACATGTTTTATGAGATTATTCGACATACTTTGGAGGTTCTTACAATTATTAAGTGATCATTGTAATGTCGGTATCGACAGGCGTTGCCTCGAATTAAAAAGAAATGAAGATATTCTATTCATATCACTCGAGTGACGTTCCCATTACCCTAAGTGTGAAAACTCGACTTGGATTCAGGAATTTAATTATGCCTTTTAACGAAATATGTTACGTCAAGGAGATAATCACATTTCGTTTCGTCCGTTACTCGAAGCAACTCGATATATTCTTCGACCATTCGATGCTTATTTTCTACTTTTACGACTGCGAGAAAGAACTGATGTGGAATCCTAATACTGTAACGATGATAACTCGATGAGTCGAGTGACGACGAAAATGTAGATAATCGGCTTCACAAATGAAGCTGCTAGTATTTATGCGAGCTTATTTATGGTGAAATCGCGTTGCTTAGCTCTTAAATCCCGCCGTGGGGACTCATGTACCCCCTGGAGACATGTTAGGGAACGGTAGAATTTAACCCTTTCGTTACGAGCGCCTACTACAATCGGCACACACGCGACGACCTGTGTGTACAAACGCCGACTATAATCAGCAAACATGCGACGACTTTTATGTATGCGCAAAGAATTCAGAAGTCTCCATAGAAGCCCAGAAAGAGACGGACGTTCCATGTTCGATGATTAGTATGTTAGTCAACGGATGGCGGCGCTGTAGTCATCTCTCCATCTCCCTTAATCTTATGGCGATATATAGCGAATTGCATTCTTTCTTTACCTAATACGCAATACTCGCTCTTCTATATGCGTTTCTTTTCCTCCCATATGTGAGATATCGTTGGCTAACATATGCAATCTCGCCTATTATAATCGGCACACACGCGACGACCTGTGTGTACAAACGCCGACTATAATCAGCAAACATGCGACGACTTTTATGTATGCGCAAAGAATTCAGAAGTCTCGATAGAAGCCCAGAAAGAGACGGACGTTCGATGTTCGATGATTGGTATGTTAGTCAACGGATGGCGGCGCTGTAGTCATCTCTCCATCTCCCTTAATCTTATGGCGATATATAGCGAATTGCATTCTTTCTTTACCTTACACGCAATACTCGCTCTTCTATATCCGTTTCTTTTCCTCCCATATGTGAGATATCGTTGGCTAACATATGCGATCTCTCTTTTACCTCCACTTCTGGTTTGTTAGCCAACTTTTAAACACATCAAGCGCTAACATAGGATCTGGGCTTCTATGGAACTTCTGAATTCTTCCGTACGAGCGCCTACTTTAGTCGGTAACAAATTCTGCTGTATCGGCAGAGTATTTTTACTTGCAATGTAGCATGAGTAATTTTAATTGCATTGACCCGTATTGGATTAATCATATTAAAAGTACATTTTGAACATACGTAACACTGTTTAGCCATCGAGACGAGTCGAGAAGACCAGCTATTGGGATAACTTTTAATTTCTGAAAAGTTCAAGGTTATACTTTTATTTGGAAAATTAATGATAGAATAATACAACAAATAGCTGTTATTTAACACTTAAAAAAGTGTATACACAAAACGCAGTCAAGGAAGCGTTGTTCAGGTGGAAGATGTAAGTTTGAACACCGAAGACTGCCGAAGCGCAATGTGCACAATTCGGCGCGGTGTCGCATCAGTGGCAGAATGCGTAACGAAAGGGTTAAGAATTAAGCCGAATTACTAGGAGCCAGTCTCTTTTGCCATATTTTTCAAAACGGTATCTTGAGTTATAGTTTTGTGAAGAAAACGAACACCGAAATGTTTCAGTCAACGTGTCGCATGTTGGAAGAAAGGATTCACATTATGTGTATAATCTTCGGCTCATTTTATAAGAGAAATTCCTGTTGCATTTATCAGCTTTTTTGGGGGTTAAAAATATATTCGCGTTATCCGTCGTCCCTTGATCGATCGCCGTGAATAGTCGGAAGATAATCGAATGATGATAAATTCTGTTTTTATACATAGGTTCGAGTATGTCACTTCGTATCCGTATTCGCTATATTATGTTACAGTATAATCCGGCAAACCTCTGTAAACGGTTGTGCCGGGCTTATTATTCGTATATGTAGGTTTTAATGTAAACGTTGCATGACTAAGAGATGGCATTGCTATCGCTGCAATGATATTTAGTCGATATTCCATCGATCGGTTTGATTTTGTACATCATGCTTGATAGCTAGTTACAATATTTTAAGATCTATTATACACCTTGAGACCATATAGTTTAATTGTACTAGTCAAGTCCACCACACGATAATTTGTTAACGATCTTGTCGGTACGGAAGAAAAAGGAAATTTATGTTTTCACAATGAAATGTAATTTACCGAAATGACTCGAGCTTCGTTAATTCGATCACGTGTTCATTAAAAATTCTTATGCCCTACAAGAAGTCATTCTAGTACTATAATTCACCATAAACGTTATCGATATTGTTGCGTTCAGTCCAGGAAGGCCAATGTGCATTAAGAATATTTAGTTTAGTTGACAGAGTTTCATTTAAATCTGATAAATTAAATCTTATTGTTGTAACAACTATTATCGGTGGAAATCTTTCCGAATTTCCAAGATTTCGGGCAAAATGGGAAATGATACAGTTTATATGTTACCGGTCACTTAAAAAAAATGTTGCGTTTAAGAGTTAAAAACAGAGTGTACCCGGAAATGAATAGTTTTTAAGATGACAATGCTGTTAGGCGATCCAAGGGAAGCGCATTTAACAACATACACGGAACACTCGAAAGTTCTTGTGATGTGGCATTAACTAATGTACGATTGATGCAGATTTTGTATTCCGAGTCAGTCATGTGCTCTGTGCATTTTGTTAAACAATCGCACAGAAAGCAAGGCCGGGCCACATCTGCGTCGTATTTAACGAGTACATTAGTTAGGATTTATAAACATTTGTCTATTATATTTATTTGAGCAATAAATACAAGTTTATAACAAATAGATCCAAGGGACTTGATGTATTTGAGACCTTGTTAATTAACACTAATTTTCAATTCTCCCTTTCATCCCTATGGTCAGTTTTTTGTACACAATTACTTAGTGTTTTCTGTGTTATATGTTATTTTTTAATCTTAGCTTCTATTGTCATATTAACCACGTATGTCCATCTTTCTTTGTCCTTTGGTACATATTCAGAAGATATGAAAGGCGCTGAGAAATTTAATTGGCGGTGATAAAATAAAATTCATCTATTCCCTTTTTGGAGGTAATGCCGTTTTGAATACTCAGGTGGTAACATAAACTGGCGCGTCCCGTTACCGACATTTATATTTATGTTGAAGTCTTTTACAATCTACGTTGAGAATCATACGAACTGAAGGTGATATGAAAGAGTCAGCCTATATATATCTGAGAGGTCAAATCGTTGGGGAAAGTATTCACCGAATCGGGTGTAACGATTCGTTTCAAATTTAGCCACGAGTCTATGAAGGCTCTAAAGTAGGTCCTGAAATTCATGAAATTTCATTTTTCATCAAAAATTTATTTACCTATCATGGACTAGAACCAACATGGCGTGGTCCGTGCATGATTACGATGTTTTACACTTCTTGAAAGTTTAGAATCGAAAATGAAGAGTTTCAGGACCTAGCTCGAGAAATTTAGAATACCGTCGAAATGGAATATTACAGAGGCAGATGGGAAAATATGGAAAATACTTTCACAAACGATTGCAAGAGAATGCTGGTTTGTCCAGGGGCTAATGTATTTTTACAGCAAAAGTTTAGTTGCAACTAAACGTCACAGATGGCAACATTGGTCCTAAACAGTCGTTCGAATCATGAATTCAGAGGATTTTTACAGTTTTACATCGATTTTTTTATCTTTACTTTACTGAAGTGACATATGGAACGCTTCAGTTCGTATAATTCTCAACGTAGACCGTTAAGAGACTATGAAAGGCGCTAAGAAATTTAATCGACGTCGATAAAGTAAAGTTCATCAATACCCTTTTTGGTGGAAATGCCGTTTTGAATACTGAAGTGGTAACATATGCTCGCGCGTCCCATTACCGACATTTATATTTATGTTGAAGTCTTTTACAATCTACGATGACAATCATACGAACTGAAGGTAATATGAAAGAGTCAGCTTATATATATATATCTGAGAAGTCAAATCGTTGGGGAAAGTATTCACCGAATTGAGTGTAACGATTTGTTTCAAATTTTACCACGGGTATATGGAGGCCCTAAAGTAGGTCCTGAAACTCATGAAATTTCATTTTTCATCAAAAATTTATTTACTTATTATGGACTAGAACCAACATAGCGTGGTTCGTCCATGATTACGATGTTTTACGCTCCTTAGAGGTTTAGAATCGGAAATGAAGAGTTTCAGGACCTAAGTCGAACAATTTAGAATACCGTCGAAATGGAATATTACAGAGTCAGATGGGAATATTTTCCCATATAATATAATAATATATTTTTGGACATTCTCTTGCAATCGTTTGTGAAAATACTTTCAGGGGCTAATGTGTTTCTACAGCAAAAGTTTTGTTGCAACTAAACAGATGGCGACGTTGGTCCTAAACAGTCGTTATATGATAATAATGAATTCACAGGTTTTCGACAGTTTTACATCGATCTTTTTATCTTTACTTTACTGAAGTGACATATGGAACGTTTCAATTCGTATAATTCTCAACGTAGCCGTTAAGAGAATATGAAAGGCGCCAAGAAATTTAATCGACGTTGATAAAGTAAAATTCATCGATACCCTTTTTGGTGGCAATGCCGTTTTGAATACAGAAGTGGCAACATAATCTGGCACGTCCCATTACGGACATTTATATTTATGTTGAAGTCTTTTACAGTCTACGTTAAGAATTATACAAGCTGAAGGGTTCTATATGTCATTTCGGTAAAGTAATGATAATAAGATCGACGTAAAACTGCCGAAATCCCATGAATTCATGACTGTTTATATTTTGACGAACCAACGTCGCCATCTGTGACGTTTTGCTGCAACTAAATTTTTGCTCTAAAAACACCTGTTAGCCGCAGGACAAGCCAGCATTCTTTTGCAATCGTTGGTGAAAGTAATTTCCATGTTTTCCCATCTGACAGTGTAATATTCCATGTCTACTGTATTCTAAATTGTTCGAGCTAGGTCCTGAAACTCTTCATTTTCGGTTCTAAACCTCCAAGAAGCGCAAAACATCGAAATCATACACGGACCACGCCGTGTTGGTTCTAGTCCATAATAGGTAAATAAATTTTTGATGAAAAATGAAATTTCACAAGTTTCAAGGCCTACTTTAGGGCCTCCACATTCACGTGGAGAAATTTGAAACAAATCGGTACACCTAATTCGGAGAATACTTTCTCCAACGATTTGACCTCTCAGATATACATAGGCTGACTCATATCACCTTAAATACATGAATTATAAGAGGATTGAGTTACATTTATTTCTCGATAATAACTATTGTTACGTCCCACGTATCGTCACCCCTCCAACTACATATATTAAGTTAAGCGTCGTAATTACTTTTCTCAAATACTATGTTACTAATATCGTGTTATATCGTCCTCGCTCGTCTGTAAATTTTCTACCGAACACGTGTTAGCAACTTGCTCAAAATAGGTAACCGTCACCATGCGAAAGGTGATAAGAACGAGAATCCCTTGTTCTTAATCCTCTAGGACAACGATGTCCCGGGCCAGTGGTAGCCCAACTTAGGGCTTCGAACCTAGATTGTTAACACAAGTAAGAAAACTCATAGAAGTGGATAATGTTAAGTTGAGGGCAGAGTCCTCCCTCTACTAAAATTTTGAGACAATGCAGTTTAGGAACAGTATAAAAAGGGACGCACCTATGCACCCTCACTTACAAGGAAGGTACCTGAGGTGTCCCCCTCCGATTTTGTTCATTTTTAAATATGTTATAGAGGACTAAAATCTAAGGGACCCGTGTTTTTTTTCATCAGCGGATAAACACTTTTAGGGGGTGAAATCAGGCTTCAAAGTTGGCCGTGCAAGGGGGTGAGTTGGCTGTTTCATATAGAAGCACTCGTCCGATTTTCATGAAACAACCGTCAATATGTAGGGAATGAAGAATTATGAAACATGCATTTGGAATTTTTCGAAAAAATTCATTTTTAAGGGGTGAGCCACCCCTTTGAATACTTCTTTTACCCCTTACGCGAGCAGTAATTGCTCTATCCAAATGAAACTTGGTTAATTTATAGACCAGAACAATACAAAAAAAGTTTCATTAGGATAGAACTATTACTGCTCGCGTAAGGGGTAAAAGAAGTATTCAAAGGGGTGGCTCACCCCTTAAAAATGAATTTTTTCGAAAAATTCCAAATGCATGTTTCATAATTCTTCATTCCCTACATTTTGACGGTTGTTTCATGAAAATCGGTCGAGTGCTTCTATATGAAACAGCCAACTCACCCCCTTGCACGGCCAACTTTGAAGCCTGATTTCACCCCCTAAAAGTGTTTATCCGCCGATAAAAAAAAACACGGGTCCCTTAGATTTTAGTCCTCTATAACATATTTAAAAATGAACAAAATCGGAGGGGGACACCTCAGGTACCTTCCTTGTTAGTTCAGTTTTGCGTCAGTAACAGTTTATCGATAGACGACGAGCGTCTCACAGAGTTCCAGTTTCTTTACAAGTACGAGCGAGGAAGAAAAACCAGTCTTCTCATTATTCAAGGTACCATATTTTTCTATGTTTTAATAAACCAATCATTCACATTTATACGAACTTGTTCTTTTCTTCTGCCTTATGAAAGAAGAAACAACAACAATATCCAATTCCTATTATTCTTTTGATATTAGAGGGCGCGGGGCTTGGTCTAACTTACCCTCTAAATCTAACTCCTACTATCTCCTTGATATAAGAGGGCGCGGGGCTTGGTCTAGCTTCCCCTCTAAATCTAACTCCTACTATCTCCTTGATATAAGAGGGCGCGGGGCTTGGTCTAGCTTCCCCTCTTCATCTAACTCCTATTATCCTCCAATTTAAAAAGGAAACCGGATCTTTGCCTGGTTTCCCTTCTAAACTTATCCCTATAGACATTCCCGAAAACCAACGACTATAACCCCCAGGCGTTGGTACCAGGGGACCCCAGAAACTCCAAGCCAATTGTTGTAACCCTAGACTGAAATAAAATCATCTTTATCTACTTTTCATAAAAAATAATCAATTCATTTCTTCCCTTCCAGACGTAACACTATCTTCCATTTTTCTAAATTTCTAACTTCTAAATGATTTATCTTTTTTGCTGACTTTTCTTTGTAACCCGTATAGGATGTGTTCAATGTTTGTAAAGGAACGAAAATATTTCCCGTTTTTTAAAATCCTAAGCTGAAACTAATTATCTATACCACTAATTACTACTGATTGGCAATTCACTTTGTCTGTTCACTTTATAACTTTAAATCGAAATAGAAGCTCCGGTCAGAAATTGTGGCTTTCAGCTATTGGGAAATCGCGCCTTCTGTTAATTTCTTCAGTCAAATCGCATTGAAAGTCGAAATGGAGACTATGAAACGTATTGTTCTAATTAAATTGAAAACAGACGATTGTGAGATCACAGATCTCTTCTATTCTAATATTTGTAAATATTTCATTATACATTATTCTGCTGTATATTATAAATTATTCAGATTAATACACGCACACATATTGCTCGCACGCTAATAAATTGAATTTTTATCGTCATTGTGCGCCGATTCAAAAAAGACTAGGACGAAGCCAAATTATTAATGATTTCTCATCTAAAAACGAAAAATGATTACTATTTTCTTCTTGATACCGATTGTTAACCGAAAGATTTACATAAAAACCGGTTCAAGTTTACACATTTGCCTTACATGCATATGCTATGCAAAACATCTTTGGCTAAACATAAATTGGAATAGTTGCGGAGAAAATTCATACTCAAGGAAAAAATGTATCTTTCTAATATGAATCCATTTTTGTCTATTTATATAGTATTGAAATAATACAAATTCAAGTACATATTCTACACTGAAGAGTGACCGAATGCGGTGAATGAGTAAATACAATTAATTCCCATCTTTTAGAGCATTAGTTATTAGATTAAAATACTAATGTTTAAAAAGTGATTGTTTCGTGTGTTTTTAATAATATGTACATCCTGATTATAATGACACTTCGCACTCAGTGTTTACTCTTTGATATACTAGTCCTGAAACAAAAAAGTGCAGATAAATACATAAATTTAATACTTTACCGACCGGCGAATTTGGAAGTAAATGATGATTACGGGTATCGCAAAACCGATTAATAAAGCTTCCGTTTGTTAAAGTGTTATTAGAAAATTAAACAATTTATTATCTCATGCGCACAATAGCTTTATCTCGACTATTTTAAAATGTTAGGATCTACTTTTTCTCATAAAAATAGGTTTCGAAAAAGAATTGTTCAATTTACCAAAATTTACAATTAAAAAGTGTAGTACTTACGTTTGCATTTGTTTACTGCCACTAAGAACGATATAAGGCGATTGAGTTTCTTTTTGTTTAGCTTGTAGCAAGTTAAGTGTACCTAAAGGTGTATCCGTCGAAGACATTCGTTTCATTAGAACTTCTTGTTCAGCTTTCTTCATTCTTTTCTCCACCTAAATAAATATTAAGTATTCATAAATTATTTTTTCTTTTACTTCGGCAAAAGACGCAAATGCTTTACCAAGGATAGTCAATTATTTTGGTAATTAAATTGAAAATATTGAAAAGTACCTTATTTTTGCCGGGACCCTTTCCATGAAATTTATGAGAAAGATATCGGAAAGCTTCTTTTGCACTTAACACGTGTCCATCATCGTCAATATATTCTAATTTTACGTTTGGCTTAAATCCATCTTTCTCTTTGAAGTCAGAAGTTGGCCCATTAAATCTGTCTCTTCTTCCAAATTTATCATCATCGCTGAATCATGCAAATATGGATCAATGTACATCGGTTAAGTGCTAAGTATTATATTTTTTGTTATAACGTAAAGGAGATCATACTAAAATAGTATTTTACTTACCCATAACTTTTATCCTCTATAGAATAACTTTGTGCCTGTAAGTGTGCAAAGCGCGACGCTGAGGGGCGATTAGTGTCCTCTTTCTGTAAGTACCCTTTACTCATTGCGAGTCTCAGGGCGCCACCTACACCCTGTCCAAGTGATGGTTCTTCGTCCAAAATCGCAGCTTCTAATGCAACTGGTTCAGATACGGCTTCATCTGGTAAAAAATGTCTAGGATGTATATGTGCTACAAAGACGTAAGTTTCGCATGTATGCTTTCCTCGCCGATTTCATAAAAGTTTAAGGTGAAGTGAAACACGTCGAGGAACTTGATTGACGTCAATAAAGAAGATTTTTCTAAATACCTACGTTGCCGACGTTCGTTTTTATATTGACAGCCCGGTCGAATTATATTGGGTATTGTACCAAATGGCATACTCCACCTGTCGTTTTCGTACAATAAATATCAAGAAATCGAAGTAAAACTCCCGAAATCCTCTGGATTCATGCTTTCTGGGGCCCTAATTGACTGCAGAGGGACACCTTGTGCCATCTGTGATTTCCAGGTCAATTCAATTTTCACTCCGAGACCTCGTATTCCCATCGTTTTAGCATAGAAGCGCATACAATACTTATTTGCCTTTATCCCGTTCAAATGCGAGTTTATCGATTACTAGAGGGTTCTAAATTGTCGTAAAATTGTACTGACCCTTTCGTTTTTCATATCAGAGTCTTCGATAATTGTATATTGATCGAAATATGAGAGCTCGACGCCATTTTGGTTTTGGTCTGGACTAAGTTAAATAATTTTTTCCAAAAATCCAAATTTAGAATGTTAGGACAATTCTTAGATGATCAGGAGTGATATGTCAAAGTTTCGGACAGTTTGGTCTAATACCCTTAAAAAAAAAGTATTGTATTTGAATCGACTGATTTGAAGGGGGTTTTACATCACCTTAGGGGGTTATATACAGTTGTCATAGGCGAAATTCATGAATTTTTTTTCATAACTAAAATGCATTTTTTAATCGAAAACAGAGCGTGATTTCATAGTACAATTATTCAACTTAATATATGTTTTTTTGTCAAGATATATTTAAAAATTGGCGAGGTACAGCAATTATCTGAAAAGGTTTTCTTTTTACGGTGACCACAATATCTCAAAAAGTATTTCACCGATCGGCTCAAATGTTTAAGGCTCGTTCTAAACATGGAGGACTGCTGAATGAACGAAGGATTCTTTTTTTCTATGTAAATTTGCTGTTTATTAAGGAAAAACGAAAATGTTATAAGACGTAAAAAGTGATTTTTCAGTAAAACCACTGCCATTTTGGTAAAAATTGGAATTACGAAAAATCCTTCGTTCATTTAGCAGTCCTCCATGTGTATTATGAGCCCTAAAAATTTGAAATCGATCGGTACTTTTTGAGATATTGTGGTCACCGTAAAAAGAAAACCTTTTCAGATAATTGCTGTAGCTCGTCAATTTTTAAATATATCTTGACAAAAAAAATGATATGTTAAGTTGAATAATTGTACTATGAAATCACGCTGTGTTATCGATTAAAAAATTCATTTTAGTTATGAAAAAAAATTCTTGAATTCCACCTATGACAGCTGCATATAATCTCTTAAGTAAATAATGCAAGTAGTTTAAGTAAAAAGTCTTACAACGCACCTAATTGTACTGTATTCCAAGCACCGCGTATATCTCCATCCTCTGTTTCCATTATAGATTCGTCTTTAACTCCATCAACTTCAAAATCCTATAGAAATGATATGTTATTTATAAAATATAAAGCTTCTTTTAAATTTTCCATAAGAGCTGGTAATAGATCAAAGTGTACACAAAATATTGTATTACATATAAATGATAAATACCATAATCTCTTGAGCATTATCTTCTCTGTTCCCAGCAAGTCCATAAGTAGGAATATCGCCTAATGTTCTGCAGAATTCGGCGGTGGCGTTAAGAACAATATTACCAGATTGATTATCTTCAGAATTTTCATTTTCCTGCTTTATAGTTTCAGCAACTTCTTCGATGCTCGACGTGTGTGGTTTCTTCAAACGTTGCGCTTTCTTTAACGCCAATTGTAGGTCTAATTCCTTGTCGTCATCCTCGATTTTAATTCCAGACAGATCCTCTTTGGGTGCTGTCAATTGAAATTTCACCCACTTGACTTTCTTTTGTTATATTTAAACATTTAAGTATCAAATCTGTGAAATGTCGATACTCCAGATAAAACAGATATACGTATTTTACTAGCACTTTGGCATAGTAGGAAATATTTACCTTCTAAGTCGTCAACATCTAAAATACCATCCAAGTCCTCTTGTCTCATCTGTTCACCGCGTCGATTTCTTCGGCTTCCAAGATCTCTCAAATAGTCATTACTATCGGGTACGAGATCATCAGCTTTGAGTATTTTTTTTGTTCTTATTTTCCTCACCTAGAATTTCAAAATACAAAGTTTAAGGTTATAGGAAAAACATAAAGCTCCAATCTAGATAAAAGGAATGCAAACATCTACGTTTGTAGTGAAAAAAATATAGTTAATAAACCCTGTTATTATACATTATATGACAATCTTTAGAAGTTCAAGTACATGAGTAGTTCTAAATTTATTAATACTTACTTTTTTCTTTGGTTTCTTAAATTTAGCCAATTCTTCGTCATTATAATACTCACTGGCTAATTTTAGCTCAGGAAGTTTTAAAGTCTCTAGCTTTTTATTAGCAAGACGTTGTTTCACTATTTCAGCCTGTCTCTGTTTCCATTCTTTAAGATTATCAATGCCTAAAGCAAAACTTTCTTTTTTCTCTCCATCAATCTCTTCATCATATTTCTCTAAAACCTTATTCTTTGGATGCCCAAATTCATCAAAATTATCATCATCATAAGCATCATAACCAGGCTTCTTTGTTTTATTTATGATATTCCGTTTGTAAACTTCATCATCTAGCATGTTAACGTTGACAAGAACGTCATAATCTTCTGCAAGGACATCTTGATCCTTTAGCGTTAAAATTACCGTTTTTCCTTCTTCAAATCTTTCCTACAAAATAAAAGTTATATTTAATAAATTTAGACACGTTTTCATGCAATAGATTACATATTGACACGTTAACTTATAATGTTTAAGAAAATGTAACGCAGACTATATACTTACAATACTATGTTCCACTTTTAGACCTTTCAAATGTTTCCTTGTATATGCTGCGCTTCTTTCATGTTGTACTTCTTCTTTGACCAAATTTGCAATTCCAAATTCCTCGTCTAATTGGTCCAACATTTTTGCCTAAAATAAATTAAAAAATAATAGTTAACTGTCATTTTTTAGAACATTTTTAGAAGAAAATTATCGTAGGCCTTATTTATATAAAGCATTATATTTAGATCGAACATTACCCTTTCTTCTGCTTTCTTTTTTTCTTCAGTTAACCGTCTATTTTTATCAACCCAGATTTTTACATCATCATCTGAATCGCTTTCACCCAATGCTTTAATTTTAGCTAAATTGGATTCGATTTGTCTCTTTTGTTTTTGTATGCTGATTTTTTCCTTAATCTTTTGAACCTTTAATTTATCATTGACATTTGGCGCAGGTTTGTGATAGAACTCTCCTAAGTCATCTTTAATTTTATTTGAATCGTCTTTAGTTGTTTCAACTTCTAAAGGTTTTAACCCAAGTTTGGCCCTAAGTCTGTTGGTTTCCTCGATCGACAAAGATGTTTCCGATGCACCACCTTTAGGCGGGGTAGGAGTTCTGTGTCGCGATATATCTGGCGGCGGTGGAGTGGACACATGAGACTTAGATATTTTTGGAGGCGGTGGTGCACTAACAATTTCAACTGAAACATTAATAACATCTACAGCATTAGAAGTATATTCAGGAAAATATAATTCTAATTTAGCCTGTGCACAGATACATAATTATTGGCATGTATTAACAAAATTATTTATATAATTACCATCACTGTCGTAATCCTTGCGTTCTTTCCTCTTATGCTTTTTGTGGTGTCTGTGCTTTTCGTTCTTCTCACGTTCGGGTGAATGCGAACGCGATCGACTGCGATGACGCTTCTTCTGAATCTCTCGAGATTTCTCGCTTTTATGCCTTTTATTTGAACCCATTTTTTCAAAACGTTATAACAATGTTCTAAACTTAAATGAGAGACCTCAAATTGCAAAAATTAGTGAAATTTATTGGAGTTAACCTCAAATTATAAGTACTTCTACATATCACACGGATCGAAGCAGTCCAGTCAGGGTGGACACTTTCGTGTAAGGTCGATATTTCATTACCGCTACAGCGACAAGCGATGGAGCGATGAAACGCGAGTAAAAGGTTATGATTGGCTAAAGAGAACGTACGGCGGAAGTTCCCCTAGTCCTGGATTGGGTAGGTACAGAGATGAGCGGGGAAACGTTTCACGCCATTGTCGAAAGCACTGACTAGGGGGTCTATTACGTAAAGCAAATTGAGCGAAAATGTGAAAAATGAGTAGCTAACGGTATTACGGAACGTTTTTGGTAGTGAAAATACGAGACCATTCATGTGAACTGGCTCGGCACAAATTTTTAAGCGAAGTTGTGAAACGTACAAGAAAAGATAGAAAAATAATCGCTGTGAACGCCATTTTTCACGGATTGTGACACCAAAATTCAAAATGGAAAACCTCCTGGGTGTTTTGATCTTTGACAACAATCGTATTCGGGGATGTAATAATAACCTTATTAGAAGAAGAAAGTAATTACGTGATGCCTCAGACCCATTTTCGTGAGAAGAAAGAGAATTTACTAGGATGTACAGGTTAGTTTTCGTTATTGCGAGGTTATATTACATTATTAAACATTGAAAATTGTTAAATAATTCATGCTTACNTACATCATTAAACGTGAAAAATTGTTAAATAATTCATGCTTACAGGACACGATAAGAAAATTATATCGTTGAACTTCTAATTATAGTATATGTAAATATGAATGTAATACATATTTAAAAAATATGAATAGACTCAAATCCTCTTCTTTACTTTTAACGGCTTTCCATCTTCCCGCCTTTCCTGCATATAACCCACACCTCTCAACAATTTTCGATTTACAAGGTGCATACCTTTATTCACCATATTACTAGACCGGAAGTGCTAGTGATCTGGTTCTTTCATATAGCGAATACGTAATTCGGGGAATAAACCCACGTGAGATGAAAGTGCTAGGAGTGAGCGCGCTCGTCAATAATACGTAATAAACGTCCTGTATACTAACTGGATAGCTGATATTCTACAAAATGGCGTGCCGTTTTAAATCCACCTAGTTATGCGCATATTAACTAATATTGTAGTATTTGCGCATGCGCTAAAACTTTTGCACATGCCGACACGCTACTTCCTTAGTATCGCTGCCCATCTGTAGTTGGCGCTAGTGTGCCTCGAATTCGTCGAAGTCCTCTTTGAATATAACAACAGAGATGAGTTGGGAGATTGCTCACGGGCAGGGTCGCGCGATCGCA